CGAGAATCCTCGGCCCCGCGTCTCAGCCGGAGAGGCGGCAGTGTCGCCTGCCTCGCCTCGCCTCGCCTCGCCTCGCCGTCTCGGGATCAGAATGGCGGGGTTCCCGGAACGGCCGGACGCCGCGTCCGCCTCGTCCACACCCACGGCCCCACGGCCCCACGGCGGGCCGCGGACTTTATAGTGCCGCGGCTGGCCGGCTGAACCACCAGTCGACGCTAATTTTGGCCGATATGCGACAGCCTCGGCGGCGAGCTTTGCAGAGCGCCCCGCTCCGGCAGACCATTTCTCACAAAATGCAAAATAATGTACGATGTTTTGGAACGTATACGGCGGAATCGATCTCGCATCGCAGGCCTCACAGCCATTTCGCCGGGCTGCCCCGGATTCCCACTATCGCATCCCCCTCCGAGGCCCCCGCAGCCCCCGCGGCCCCCGACCCCCACTCGTGATACCTTTTGATAACGAGATCACGGGCACGCGCGAAACTCGAGCCGGGATCCTTAAATTGAAGTGAAGGAACCCATCCGGGTGGGGCGGGGTGAGGTAGGGCAGCGCGGGGCGCCGGCCCCTCCTGTTGCCGTGGCGCTGTGCGCTGTGCCGGCGTCCCGGGCGGGCCAGGCGGCCAGGCGGCCAGGCGGGCACAGGCCTGTAGCCCACTAGGATCCTCTGGGTCAACGACCAGCGGTCCGGGCGGGACGGCCAGGAGCCCGGCAGGCCGGGGTGGCCCTGCTGCCTGCTTTCCAAGTTGAAAGATCAACTGCCTCCGCCACTGTCGACCTCGCCGCAGCCCGTCCTTGGAGCAACCCTTGGGGTTGGCCGGCACCGGACCACCCTAGGCCCACCGCGGCCTGCCCTACTCCCCCGGCACGCCATGCAGGGCGTGCGGATGGCCAGGACGGCCCGGACGGCCGGGTGGTTCGGATCAATGGCGGGACAGGCCCGCGGCCCCGCGGCCCAACCCGCCGAGGCCCCATTAGCGTAATGAGTCGATTGGCGCGCCGTGCCTCCGAGCCGCCATGCCAGTGCGGGCGGAGAAGGGCCAGCAGGTAGCAGTGAGGGTGGCCGTCGAGGGTCCACTGGGCAGTCCTCACCCGCCGCGGCTTCGCGAAGGACACTTGTCCTTGCAGCAGTCCAGTCCGCTAGACCAAGGACGAGCCTAGTGACGAAACCTGCCTCGTCAGGCTAAGTCGGGCTAAACAGTGCGATAATGACTGACAGGCACTACTTTAAGGGGCAGGCTGTATGGAGATGGACCGGCCGGGCAGGGCAGCCACCGTACCGAAAATGCTCGCACTTGCTCGTCTTCATTGCAGCCACTTAGAGGCGCGGGAGTGCGGCGTCCACGGCGTCCACGGCGTCCACGGCGTCCGGGAGGCGCGCGTTGACGGACCGTTGACAGAGGCGCGCGCTTGAACCGCCAGTGCCGGTGGCGGCGGAGCGGCGGCGGCGGGGCACCCAGTCCCACGCGGCGCCGGCACGTGAGCACGCCGAGCACGCCGACGACGCCGACGAGTAGGTGTGGCGGGGCCACGTCGGATGGGTGGCCCACCTCCACGGCGCTGGCGGCGGCAACGGCGGCCTGCTGCATTCATGGCCAGGGCACGGCGTGCGCCACTCGAAGAGGCTTGGCGCCGCCAGCGGCCCGTCTCCGTCTCTCTCATTGGCCAGCTGATTCTTCAGAGCGGCGGGCCGGGCTATCCGGACGCGGCCGCGTGCAGGTGGCGGAGGGATGGCCTCCGGAAACGACGCCAACGGCGGTCGGGGAGCATAAAGGGGGGCTCAATGCATTCTTCCCGGAGCGAGCGCGTCTCTTCACCCGGATTATTCGGAACGCGGCGCCCGGAGCGGCCCGGCGGACTGACTCCGAGGGTCCCTTTCGTCGCGCTGTCTCCCTCGCACTCGTGGGGCGCTCCGTGCAGGTGCGACAGAGACAGAGCGACGCGAGCGACTCTCGGAATCAGTCCGCCGGGCGGAGCGGAGCAGAGCGGAGCAGAGCGTGCACCGCCAGGCTCTCCCCTGCTTCGGCAGGGACACCGCCGCAATTGAATTCTAAACGGCTGCATTTCAAAAGTTGGGCATCGGGGAACGCCTCGGGATGCCCTCCGAATGGGGAAGCGGCCCCGGATAATCGGGTCGAGTGAGTAGGGGTAGGTGAAAAATGGAGGGGGGATGGCGGGGAGGGAGGGGTGGCAGGGACAGGATGTGAGTTCCCGGCCAACTTGGCGGTCCTTAAAAGACGTGTACTTCATAACGGCGTTAATAAAGAGGCGCCCCGCCCCGCCCCGCCGCGCCCCGTGGCGGGCCGTCCCGAGATTTGCGGTAATAATATACAATCGAGGCTTAGTGGGCCGACGTCGGGGCTATCCATTAGACGCCACCCCCTCCCCTCCGGCGAGCGGACAGCGGGATGCATGGTTGCATGAAGTGCAGGGGTAGCGACCTGCCGGCCCCTGGCCGTTCCCTTGTCGACGTCGTAGACAGCGACACGGAGCCAGTGTCACAGCTTTCACATGTCAGGCCTTGTCAGACATGTCGGACAAAAAGTGTGCACAGGGTACTGAGTATCGAGGTGTTTCTGCCTTCCGTTGGCGTGCCCCCTCTCAGTGGCTCCAGTGGAACCGAGCCGGCTACTCCACTGCAAAACGGCTCATAAGTGCCGCCGGCTGTCCGACATGACAAATTTACGTCTTGTTCCAGACGAGGCGAGGCGGGCCGGCCGGCACCCGTTTGTCGCTTTTCGCCACAAGCCATTAGTCCCCATTTTGGCGCGAAAGGCGAAAGGCCTTCCTCTGTCGAAACGCCTCTCTGCAGCGCCACAATGGCCGGGCAGGCCCCGGGCAGGCCGGCTTGATAAAATGGTACTCAGGGCCAATCTGGGCCGTTAATGGCACTTCCCTTGTCCTACTAGACCGCGCCGGCTCTCAGAAAAAAATGACAACCCTACCACCGACTCCGGCCGGGGAAAAAGAGGGCTTCGGCTTGAAATACAGAGGAAGCTGAGAGCGAAGGTCCCTTCTGTGAGGTTTGCTGTGCAATTAAGGAAACGCGAACACTAGACCAAAAGAATGCTCTAGTTTTCGGGATGAACCCAAACGTGTATCTTGTTGTGCCCAAAGTCGTTCCCGCCAGTGCAGTAGAAACGCACGCTACGCTCCGCGAGGCGCCGCCGGGTCGCTCTGCGCGCTGGTCGTCGTATCGTGACTCCATGAAAACATGACAATGCCAGTGGGGAGTCGGGGCGGCTTTTAAACGGGGCAGGGGGCGGCGGGGGCGGCTCGGGGTGTAGGGGCCTCATTTGACAAGCGCCCCCGCCGTCTGCCCGTCCCGCGCGTCTCTCCCCCGCCAAGGCGCAGTCGTCTATTTGCACTCAATGTAATCTGCACACTGCTGGCGGCCGGGCCCGCCCCCGCCGCCCCCGCCGCAGCGCGAGCAAGGCGAGCACGGGGGACGAGACGGGGTGGAACCCGCCGGCAGCACCAGCCCCGGAGTGGACGCGCTGGGCGACCCGCTGCAGAACGTGGAACGGAACGTGAACAAGGCGGAGAACGCAAGGAGGAAACTGCGTGTGCGCATGTGCGTGGTCGCCACGCCGTGCCGTGCCGCGCCACGCCGCGCGCGAAAGTTGATTAAGAGAAGTACGGCCAGCACTCAGCGGGGGTCCGGGCAGCGCGCGGCGCGGCGGCGGTGGAAGGGGACGAGGAACACAACGCGCTTCGGGACAAATGCGACGAAGCGCTTGGGGCTTGAGCCGCGAAGGTCAAGAGCTCAGGCCAGCGTGTGTCACCTACATTCGCATTCCCAGTACGGCCCGCTTCGGGTTTTCGTTTTCCAGTGGTGGCGCGTTCCACCAGAAGCTGTGAGGCACCCGTTTCACGCTCCGCTTGGTCGGACGCCTGCGAGGTAGGCCACCCACCCGGCCAGCAACACACAGGTGTGGAGACGGTGGCCTACCCGGCCCCTGTGAGGGGCAAGGTAGGCCACCGTCTCCACACCGGTGTGCTGCCGGCCGGGTGGGTGGCCTACCTCGCAGGCGCTACAGGCGCCCGCGTCAGCAGTCCGGATGACCGGCGATGCGACCGCCAGCGGCAGAGGGCTCCCGTCCCGGGGACCATGCGCTGACCGGCACATTTTTGGTGTTGGCTTTCTGACAGACGGACAGCGGAGGACGGACCCGGCTGGGCTCGTCCCAGCGCTGCGTAGCGTCACAGTGGACAAGGCCGGCGTGGCTACACCGGATTACCCGCGGGCCCCAAGGCGAGCCGCTCCCAGCACCCCGGCGAGGAGCACGCAGGCCGACGCCGACACCCCTTCCGGCCGGCCGGACGGCGTGCACGCGACACCGTGTCTCGGGATGCGTCTGGAGGGCGGCCTTGCCAGCAAAGATAACAACGAGACGATGCCCAGGACCTTCGACCCAGGACCGCGGCGACGGCCGCCGTGGACGCAGGAAGGGCGCGGCGCGGCCGTGACGCCACGAGCGGCGAGGAGGAGAAGAAGGCCTCAAGGATGATCGCGTCGCCACAAGTGGAGCACTCACTGCCTGCCGGCGCCTGCAGGGCCACTTCGCACGGCGCCTAGTCGCGCTGTCTCTCTCGCACCCCCACAGCGCGCCCAGCCGCCCGGCGAGTGCGAGAGGGACAGCGCGACGGAGGCATCGTTCGGAATGAGCATGCCTGGCGGAGTCAAGCCTCCTCATACATATTCGCCGCGCTAATGGCCGCCTGATCTCCCTTTTGCAGCTTCTCCTCTCGTGCTCGCCGTGGCCGCCAGGCCCCGCCAGGTCGCCGAGGATCGTCCTGGCGGACTGATCGGCCGCTGCATATTGCAGCAACGACCGCCACGCGGCCGCGCCGCGTGGGAGTGGAGTCTTTCAATAAACATGCACACGGCACACGAGAATAGGGTCACCACTGGACGCCGTCGCATCCACACGTCTCGGTTCAACGCGCGCGGGGTGACCGTGGCCGCCGACGAAATGAAAAGAGGAGTTTGGCACTCACCTTCGGCGTCCGGGCAGTTGTGCTCGTCCGTGGCGTCGGTGCAGTCCACCTTGTCGTCGCAGACGCTGCTCTTGGGGATGCACCGCGTGATGTCGCACATGAACTCGCCCTGCGCGCACTCTGCAAAAGCACACACGTTTTTATCAGACCCACTCTTTTTGGTGCTGTATTAATCAACTCCGGGAAACGGGTGAGCTCCGGGGTGTACTACACAAGGTGAGATTTTTTCCTTTTTTAAAAATCGAAAGTTTTGACGTTAATGTTAATTATTGGGACAGATTCAGTTTCCGGAGACGGTCGTCATCGCCGAAGTTCAAGAGCCATTTCCTGGGCATTGCAGATGTTGCAGGTTGCAGTGCAGCGGCTCCGGCACCCCCAGCAGTCAGCTTTCCTGTCGGGAGACACAAGGGTGGGCGTCCAGTGTTCGGCCGTTCGGCGTCGTGGCGCCCTCTGTGGGCGGCGCGGCGAACCAGGCAAGCCAGGCGGCGCTGCGCCCAACATGGCCGCCATGGCCGCGTCGAAGATACTCCGCGCGGCGCAGCGGGCCGCGGCGGGCCACTGCACTGCAGGGGTGCGACTCCCCGCCGACTCCAAGGCGCCGCGACTCCGGGCTGCAGGTCCTGGAGGTCAGAGCCTCGGTACGTACCTTGAAGGAGCCCCGGGCCCCACCGCCCCACAGCGGCCAGAGAGAGAACGAACAAACCGGGGCAGCTAGCGTCCCCACCGAAAGCTCGGGGCAGAGCGAGAGAGGAGACATTCCCTCCCCGCGCGATGCGCGATACAGACCGGTGGCGTTGGTCCTGGGGCAGCCGAACTCGTCGTCGCCCTGGGGGCAGTCCTTCTTGCCGTCGCACTTCTGGTCGGCGCAGATGTAGATGGAGCCGTCGCCGCAGCGCACCTTGTCGTCGGCGCGGCACTCGTCCTTGGGGAACCACTCGGCACCCGGCGGCAGCACGGCGTCGTCCCCCGACGAGGACGCCGACGACGACGTCGCGGAGGGACTGGCGCCTAGTCATGGCGGAAGCGTCAGTGGGAAGCTAAGGGTGTGCGGGGGTGGGGGTGGGGGAAGCAGCTATCCATGACCAAGTGCAATGTTGGAGAACTCGTCATGACTATGGAAATTATTGAGAGGTATATTTTAATCGGAGGCACGATTCTAAAGGTGCGAGTCATGGTTCAAGTGCGTACGGGATTCTGATAGCGAAGTTATATTTTTAATCCACAAGGCAGGAGGTTAGTGTGAGTTAGAACGGAAGATGGAAACTAATTTGCGCCAGCAAACACCACTATGAAACCCAGGAGTTTCGTCTAGTCTAGGTTACTGTCTACTGACGAACGACCCAATTTGCCATTCGGCCAGACAGAGCGAACCAGGCAGGCCGGATTCACAGGCCAGCGACGAAGATACTCCATGCAACAGGACCCCCCTCGTCCATCACCAAGCGAGACCTCATTTCGCCCTTTCCGCAAGCAGGATTCAGGGTGCGGGTGTGGGCATCACCACACTGCGATTCCCCTACAGTGCAGGCGTCGGGTTAAGCCTCCCGTTGAAAGCCACGCCCGTTTTTAGTTTTTAGTCGGCGGATTTGAAGGCGCCGCGGCGAGGGCGCCACTATTCTCGATTCAGCGCGCGGAGACAAGCGGCGAGGCGGCCAAGCGCCAATCTGCGCCGAAACCAAACTTTGGGACCGGGCGCGGCAAAGTTTAAAACCTGTAATCCGCGCGATACTCGGGGCGGGCGGGCAAGATGGCGGTCGGTACTGGGCTTACGGCGCGGCGGGGCGGGGCGGCGAACACCGGGGAGCCAGGGCGCTGCCATGCGCCCCGCGACCATGCCTCTGCGGCGCGGGGAAGGCCTGGAAGACCCTCGCCCAGCCCAGCCCAGCCCAGGACCGGCGCAGGGGACGGAATGCACAAGTAGCACGGCGTGCAGCAGACTTCCCTTGCCTCGCCGACGGCCGGACCCCCTCGTAAAGCACGGGGGACTTGGTGTCATTAGGTCAGGCGGAGTGCGGCCCAGAGTGCGCCACGCCGCTACACTGCGCCAAGAAGCGCACTGCGCCGCACAGGCATTGAGCGGTGACTGGTACAAGCGCGATGCACGCGTGAATGGGAATTCGTACTCTTTCGATGAGCGAGCACTCTTCTGTAGACACTGGCGATTCGAGTACTGTCCGTTTTAAAAATAATCCAGGAAAAGGGAAGTGGACTTTTGGTCCCGAAAACCGGCGGCCCCGCACCAGGCAGGAGAAAGCACTGCGCTCCGACACATGCATACCCACACCGCAGCACACTTACCGGTCCAGTCGTTAAACGGTTACACACACAAAGCGGCGGGGAAGGACTGAGCAAAGACGAAAGGACGAAAGACGCGCGGAGTATCGGCGACCGGACGGCGCGCTCGCACCGCCTTCCTGCAAGAGACTCGGCGGACGCACAGTTTCGAAAAGGCAGAGCGACACACAAGGCGTGGAGTATGTACAGCGATGTTTCGGCACACAGAGAGCGTTATCTAGATCCAGGAAAGAAAACACAGCGAGGAAAACACACAGAAAAAACATAGCGATGAAATGGAAATGTACAAAAGATACACTTGAGGCCGCGAAAAATGGAAATATAGCACTGTAAGAGATGTTACTAACGGGCACACACAAACACACACGGCAACGAAGCTCACAAGCTACGGGTCTCTAAGTGGGGATGGTGGGAGGAAATGGGCAAATTCATCATCCGACAATACAGTGGCAAAACGTGTGCGGGTAAACAAAACGTCACAAAAACGCAAACTAATTTGAAAACAGTGAAACAAATGAAAGTAACTGGGTAGCGGGACGTGGCCATACTCACCGGGGGCGCATCCCTGCTCGTCGGAGCCGTCGGCGCAGTCGGGCACGCCGTCGCAGCGCGTCTTGAGGGGCACGCAGTCGCCGCTGCGGCAGGACAGCTCGGCGAGCGAGCACTCCGCGGGGCCGGGCCCAAGGCCGGGCCGGTCTACAGCAAGCGGGCCAGCGTCAGCATGGTGCAGCACGGCTTCAGCCAACGATACGGAAGGCAACGAAAGGCAACAAAACGCAACGGGACGACGAGCGCGACGTCGTCACACAGACACGGCCCCTGCAGCGGTGGTGCGGCCTACGGACGTCGACGTGTCGGTGGCAACGCGCGGCGGCAGGGGGTTGCCGACGTGCGCCTTGGAGGGGACTGTCCTCAAGGCGGAGGTGGGCAGCCCCTGCGGCCGCGCGCTGCCGTACCAGGTCGACGCGCCCGGCAGTGCCACTCGCTGCGCGCGCGGCTCGGCTGTGTGGTTCGACGAGCCGCTCTTTAACACTACATACTTCTACACAGACAATGAAAAGCAAGTGCCCAACAACGACCTACGTCCTCTCCGCGGGGAACAAGAAATCAATTTCAAAGTTGCCCGTCGGCATCACTGAGTTCCCAAACCGCGCTGCCCGGCCAGGTCGCTGACGTCACCTCCATCGATATACATCATCGATAAGGAATCAATTGGGAGGCTGACAGCTCGGCCAGGGCGGCCCGGGCGGCACGCGGCGCCCCCACTGGCGCGGGGTATCGCCAGCACGAGTGCAGGTTGGCGGCGGGAGCGACCGTATCTCGGTGCAACTACGTGACTCAAGCCCGAAAGCCCGACCGTTCTACGAGGGCACTCCGCCAAACTAATCAACACATGCTCAATTTTCCATACTGGTCCCTCAGCCTCCCAGGTCGTTGCCGCCACGCTGGCAAAGGAGGGGACGCATGCCGACGGCACTCACCCCCGAAGTCCCTGAACAAGAAGCCGTCCGTCTTGGCCGTGTAGCTGCCGATCTTCTGATAGCGCTCCAGCTGCGTGAACAGCGTCCTCTGGATCAGGTCCTTGTCGTAGTTGTCCGTGCCCAGGTCCAGCGTCACCTTGCTGTCGAAGTGGTCCTCGGCGCGCCTGCAAGCCGCAGCACGTTGCATTCTCCGACCAGGAAAAGGCCTTTGGGACCGTTTGGAACATCCCTCTCGCTGGAACCCCACTCACTGAATGCTGATGATGCTAACGGACTGCTTGCCGGGGACGTCCTCGAACAGGCGGTTGATGTCGTCGGCCAGGGCGTTGGCCAGCTCCCGGAATTGCGGCGACTTCCGGTCGGCGTACTCCTCCTGCCAGGGCTCCACGATGGTGAGGGTGATGCGGTAGAACTCTGCAAACGGCGGGGAAAACCCAGGGGTGAAACGCGGATTCGAACCCGCGGTACGGTATCCGAGAGCAACGTCGCTACTCACTCGGCTGTCCGGGCCCGTGCGCGTGTTCGGTGTGATGCGAGGTGCCGTTGACCCTGCCGCGTCCCGCGTCGGCCGAGCCCTCGTTGAAGGCGCCGGACGGGCCGTAGTCCTCGTCGTCGAAGGGGGTGTCCGTCCGGCGGCCGGGCGTCGAGCTCTCCAGCGCCGTCGATACTCCCTGCTGGCGAGACGGGGGTTAAAAGCAGGCGACATGGGGTATCGGCAGTCACTTCCACCGGGTGGCCTCCCCTTACCTCCGACTCTGCGGCGGTCGACTGCGGCCCGACCAGCGCCGTGCTGCCGACGGCGTCCTCGATGGTGTTGGACAGCTCGTCGCCCTCCCCCGCCGCGGCCAGCGTGCTGCGCTTCTCCCTCAAGTCCACCAGGCTGAGCTCGTTGGGCTCCTCCTCCGTGGTGGTCGAGGCCGCCGTCGACGTGCTGGCCTCAGTCGTGGTGGTGGCAGGCTCGACGCCGAGGAGCGACGAGAACCCCGAGAACCAGTTGGTCTGCCTGCGCACCCTGAGGAGACGAGACAAGAGATTAGGATGCGGCGCTTCGCCTCTGCGTGGTTCGGGCATTTCAGGTTGAGCGCTTGCCTGTGCAGCTGCTTGGCGAGGAAGCCAAGGACGCCCGCGCCCTCTCCCTCGTCGTCCTGGTGCAGCGCGGGGGGCGCTGGCTCCGGCCTGCTGGGCCCTTGCTGGTGCCTCTGCGTCCGGTGGTCGCTGCCGCTGTCCACCGCCCATGTGCGGTGTCTGTCCTCGAACACGAGGTCGTCGCCGTCCGGCTGCAACAACAACAACAAGGCCGTCACAAACAACAACAGTAACTCTCCCTCCCAGGCATCGGAACCGAAGCGCGCGAAAATGTTCAACCTCCTCTTTTCGGCCGAGAGGGCGCGAAAAAAGTCGGAGTGCTTAAAAAAGGCGTCGAAGGGGGGACAAAGACGACGACTCTGTTTTGAAGCGACCTCTTGATAGGAAGTTATGACTACAAAGTGGCATCACGTTGTGAGAATATAAAGCGAGGAAGGAGTCCCGGGGGCGGGGAGGGGGAGGAGGAGGGGGGGCGACGAGCACGACGACGAGGGGATTTACCGCCACCCCTACTTTGCGCTAAAAGTGACCCCCACCCTCTCCGGACGCGGACGTGCCTCCACTCCGCCGCGCCCGTCGGCAGGACGCCACACACCGCCCCGCCCCCACACCCCGCCACACCCCGCACCTGCGCCAAGGCCGAGGTCAAAGGTCGCGGAGAAGCAGCGTTGCTACACTAGTAGGCAACGATCCGAAGGGGCTGCCAATATTGGACTCAAATTAGCGGCACTCAAATAGTTTCAGGGTATTCTGTTCTCTGGACTACGTGAAAGAACTGTGACGCACTCCGGCAAAGCGGAAACTCAAAGAGTCGTGGGGAGGTCCAATGAGAGAGTCATTCCGAGGCGGCATCGCCTCAGTTCCGACAAATCTCACACTCCGTGGTGATGTCCAGTTAAGCTGTGCCGCGGTAGTGCGTAAAAGAGTGCTGTAAAAGTGTCCCTAACTCGAGTTGCTCTTTACAGCCGTGTCGGGGCCCCGGGGCGCGGTGCCCGGGGCACGCCATGGACCCCCTTCCCGTCTCCGCGATCCTTGTCATGCACCGCGGGAAGCCGGGTCCGGCTCGGCGCGGCTCGGCTGAGGATCAAGTAATGAAGTTGATCCACATCAAGAACGTGTTGGCGACGAAGGCGCGGACACTTTGCCGGCGCCGACCTGGGCCACGCCGCAGCGCCACGCCGAGATGGTGAAACTTAAAGACCAGAGGGACTCATTGCCCCCATATAAAAAGGCGCCTTTTTCCCGCCTCTTTTTGCGTCCGCCATCTTGGGCCAGTTTTATGGCGCGACTAATGTCGTGCTCAACCAGCGGGTAATGCTGGCCGCCCCGCAGCAGCCTACACCAGCCGCCCCGCCGCACCGCCGCCCCGCCCCCCGCGGCGCGTCTAGACACCTCGCACTTCGAGCCCCGCGCTTCCCACCGCCTGCAGCATCCCCGTCTGCAACTTCGCTGTCCTCCTACAAGCAGGCCCGTCCGCCAGCACGGCCTCGAGGGCCAGCGGAAGGCCAGGCAAGCGCCGTGCGGGTAGGCAGCCACGTAGTGTGGGAGCAGGGGCGTCGGGCGGGACGGCCTACGCTGCAGGGGCTTGGGTGGGTTGGGGTGGGCCACCTTATGATGAAGAACGTCCGACAGCTGGGATCACAGTTGAGACTCACGACACACTTTCTGCGCTCCAGGTTCGTCCGGCAACCAAGTTCTCGGTTCCTTGAGCTCCTGCGCCACTCCCCCCTCCCCCTCCCCCCACCTGCCCTCACTTTTCCTTCCGAGCCTGACCAACTCTGGCAGACTCTTCCACCCACCCTTTGTGTTCGGTCGGAACGAGAACAGACCCGCAGGGCTGTTCGGCTTCGGCGTGGAATAAAATATTTTCATTAAAAGTAAATCGACTGCAAACTTAAAGACGACGATGATGCAAACAAAATTATATTAAGAACCGTTAGAATTCGGAGACGTATTCGGAGATGTATCACCTTTCCCACTACAGGCTGCGATGTTTGCCCCCCCCCCCCCCCCACACACACACACCAAGGCTTTCCGAACATCGCCGGGATCCCCCTGCGGCGTCCATGGGAGCCCCCGGGGCCTAAATATACACGGAATAGCCAGGAATGCTACCGGACTGAAGCAGGCAGGAAGTTCAAGGAGACGCGGCTGTTGGCCGCGCTTCGCCCGCTTCGCCGCTAGACGGCTCCCTCTTGGATTGCACGCACACAAGTGCAGCACACCCGTTGTAGTGCACGCGGCTGGCTAGCCGAGAAATAAAAAATATAAAGAGGGTAAAATGAAAACGTGTGGGAATGGCGGCGGCGGCGGCTCGGCTAGCCATCCGTTTTGCTCAGGCTATCGCTGAGACAGGCGATCCCCTCCCGCGGATTCGCGACGCGACGCGCCGCGCCCTTAACCTGTCGCGGTTTCACTTCCCTTCCAATATCGCCGCCCTCGCGCCCTCCGCGTCCCGCTTCTGGAGGGAAATCGACAGCCAGCGCTTCGCGAGGCGCTGACAATTAGAGCACTGGTCACACTTCCAGTGCCGCGGCGTTCGGAAAGAGACAGAGCGGGTGAGAGAGAAAGAGTGACGGGGGACAGGCAGCCGAAACACCGAGTGACACATAAATCAGGAGCACCCCATAAACACGCAGTTGGGTCGCGCCCTAAGCCGGCTCATGTTCACGCGACATGTAGTTCGCTTTCGGGTCGACTGACCTTTCTTCTTTCTCCCTCCCTCCCTCTCCCCTGGCCGACTGAATGTGGTGAGGCAATTACGCGCAACACTCGAGACGACAATGACCGCTGGCGCTGGCCCCGCTGGACCCGGTGGACCCGGTGGCGGTGACCGATCTGGGGGTGACACTCGACACCGAGGCGCCTGGAGCGCGCTGGAGCGGGCTGGAGCGGCCCGGAGGCAACGCACGTCTGGGGGATGATCTTGGGGCGCAGCGAGCGGCAGCGAGCGAAGGGTGGCGCGGCCGGTAAGACACAGCCAGGCAGGCAGGCAGGCAGCCAGGCAGCCAGGCAGGCAGGCAGGCAGGCAGCCAGGCAGCCAGGCAGGCAGCCAGCCAGCACAGCGAAAGGAAACACAAGAGAATCCCCCAATAAATGGTTTATGATTGGTGCTTGGTTGTTGCCTCCCCTCCCTCCCCTCCCCTCCCCCGCTTGCTTCCGCCCGGCGTCTCCCCCGCAGTCTTCGCGGGTCGTCCGTTATTAGTTGAGAAATCTCCCGACAGATGGGGCGCGCGTGGGGCGCATGCGGCATGTGCTGCTCGCGTGTTGTACCAGTGTACCACCACACCTACCCTGTCTAGTCTGTCGCCACCCGCCGGCCAGACTCACAGACGCGGTTCCAAATTTTCGAGAAAACGGCGGCGAGAGAAACGAGCGATAAAATAAACACAGAAATAAAAGCAGCCCGGCGGGAAAGAGGGAGAGAGAGGGGGGATGCTGGCGAGGGAAAAAGAAAGTGAAGAGAAGATTAGAGTGTTGAGCGGCTGAGGGGACAGGGCGGGGGAGACAAATGCAGCATCATTAGGGGTGTGTTGGGGATGTAAAACATGCATTCGGCCGGGAACCAACTTGTAGTCCGTGGCGGCGGCGGCCGCCCGAACCGCTCCGAAACAAATAACCGCTGTCGGTCCTCGTTCGTCGGAAACACCTTCGCGGTGTGGGAGACCAGGGAGAGCTCGCTGGCGAAAATTCATCCTCGACCCGTCCACGCGGCCAGAGAGTAATCCTCCAGGAAGGAACGGCAGGAGGTTTACTTTGGAACGACGGCCAGTGCTCCGCGCTGCTCCGTGAGGCTGTCTCTATTTCTGTCGGCGAGTCCGCGGAAAAAAAAGGAGAGGGAAGGAATGGTATTTGTCGTGCTATGCTGGAATGGGTGGCCGACAGAAGAATAACACAAAGCTCCTAGCCCTCGCTAGAAACACACACACGTACACACACACACACTCACACACTCTACACAAACACGCCGTGCATACAAATACGGGGCCATGTGAGGTTGGCTAATGTCGGAGAACGTGATTGGCGGAAGCGGCAAATGCGTCACTCTTTTTCATGACGAAAAATCCTCAAACAAAGTCCGTCACTCTTTTACGACGCAAAAGTTCGTCACTTTTCTTTCAGAAAATTCGTCACTTTCTAACGTGCGGAGTAATGACCGTTCCGACCTAACGTAAATTTCTATTTTCTCATCCTTTCAAATTTCACAACGACTTTCTGCGACGTGTTTTCTCCTTCCAATCTCTCTTCCTTAAATCATGCTTTCGGGGATGATTCACTGACAGTGCAGCAGATAGGGCGCTGTGCGTATCTCACTGCACTACTTTGTTGCACCACTGTACTACGGGTGTGCCCCATGTGCCCCACGTGCCCCGCGCCGACAGAGCAATGACTGACTGAGCGGACTGTACTATGCGAGTGAGTACGGCCGGCCACTCTGCGGGGCAAGGAGTGACTACACTGTTTTGTCCCCGACGTTGTCCAGGCCCAGCGTCCTGGCGTGTCCTCGCTGTTTGCTCGGAAGGGCTATCATTGGGACGCGGCGGCGCGCGGTGTTCCGGATATGAAACCGGCGAGTCCACACTGCCCTCGCAAAACATCGGCAAACATGCACACGGCCCGCGGCGACACTGCCAAGCACGGCAGCACCGCCACGGCCTCCAAGGCCGGCACGGCGGAGGCTGAGGACGCGAGCGAGTCCGCGATCCCCGTCGCGGCCCCCGCGGGGGCCCCGCGCCCCTGCACCGGAAACCTGAACGCGCTTTCGGCCGCGTGGGCCAGGGGCAGCCCGGGCAGCCAGCACCCCACCGGAAGGAGCGCGGGTCGATAGAATGGCAGCCACCACGCTGCGGGATCGACTCCATGCATCGGTTGGCGATACGCGTCCGCCGCCTCGTCAGCCCGCCTGCCCGCAACCACACTGTTAAAGGGCGGCCCACGCCGCGCGATAAATCAAAGGCCGGCGGGTAATTGCGGCGCAACCACGTCCCCGGCAGGTGCGCACCGAGGACCGCGGGGACCGCGAGGACGGCAAGAATGGCGAGGCTGGCGAGGACCGCGAGGACCGCGAGGCCGGCGGCGGGGTGACTCACGCGCCACTAGAAGGGCGCTAGAAAGGCACGCTGGCGTAGGTCGGTGCGGTGGTTGGCACGCATGCCCGGAGCGGCTTCCGTCTTCGCGTGTCGCGGCAAGC